GATGAAACAAGCGTATGTTCTAAATGCCAAATGTGAATGCTATATCTATTTTTTTATTATTATTAAAAGAAACACAACAAATTCCCCATGTATCACATAGTATCACATGGGGCTTACAGAAGTAAGTATGAAACACAATACAAAATAAACAGAAGAGAAAACTGAAATAAAATCAAGGATGATTACAAAGTTTTATAATGAATTGACAAAAACTTTTAAAAGCACTTCTCTATATCTGCACTTACATTCAAAGAGAAAACAAGAAATGGGTGTGGTAGATTTCTTTTATCATAAAATCTAGCACATTGAACTGTGTTTCAACTATGGATCCGTAAAATAAATAGCTCCCTTGTTTCGTATTCGTGTCCCATAGGTTTTATTAATTATGCCCAGTGCTTTACTTAAACATACCCTTTAGAGATCACATAGAAATCTCCAGATATTTTAAGAGATTTTCCTTTATTAATACCTCATCTTTAAAGCGACAATTATTCTTATATGGTAAGTATTCTGAAATGCTTTATGTTCATTTATGCATAGCTACACCTTACACACACACACAAAAAAATAAATAAATAAAAGTGCAGTTCTATATCTCCCGTTCTACTGCACCGAATGTTGAAATTTAACTTGCATTTTCCAGATCTCTAAAGCACGACTTAGGATATTTATTAGATTTATATATAGCATTGTTCTAACGTAGGTATTTTGACACAAAATCGAACATTTTCTGATATAACATAATATTTTTTTTTTCATATTTCGATTCTGCCCACCAGCGGCCGAGCGGTAATGTCGCTGAACACTGGTAGTTCGGTCCGAGGTTCGAATCCCACGAACGGGCTGGCTGCATGAGTGTTTTCGTGGTTTTCCCCATGTGTAACGTGTATACGAGCCAGTTTCCCTTAGAAAGTCCTCCACGAAAGGCTTCCTCCCCTTAGGCAGATAGCCCTAGTGTGCTTTGCCATAATTAAATACACCACACCACCACCATATTTCGATTCTAGGACGCAAATTACGCCAAAGTGCCATAATTTGTAAAATTCCCATGAGTATTTCTTAAAACATTAGCTCTTAACATTTTAGCTCCACCATGTTAATTGAATTTGGTATATATTTACTAATCTCTCTTTTTTTTATTAAACTTATTTGATTCTTACTTTCACATTTCGAAATTTAGGTTCATCCCAAATACAATTCGCCCATTTTTTGTGATTTATTTTTTAAATTTGTATTTTTAAATATTTTTTTATAAATTTTTGAAAAACATTTTGAATTATAATCTATAAAAGTTTTACCATGATCTTAAAATAGATGCATTTCTAAGCATACTTGCAGAAGATTCAAGCTTTTTTATTCAAAATTTTTAAGCTATGCGTGAATTTACATATTGGCGCATTTTGAAGTTTGGCATATTTGTTATAAGTTTATTATTTGTTTATATATATTTATGTAAGTATTTGTTATAAGCGATAATAACGCCAAATGTGGTTTACGCACTTTGTCAAAATTATTTGAAAGTATGAATGATAACCTTTTTCCGCTCGTGTACAATTAGAAAAAGGAAAGGAAAATAGGTTGCTATAAATTAAGAAGTTCGCCTAGTGAATTATTCTTGGCGCAAACTGAAAACAAAATGCGCCAATATAAATTTAAAAGTTTTTTCCACAAATTTCTCACCAAAAATTACAAAATTGAATATCCAAGCATAATGAGTTGTAGAGTCGAAATATGGACAAAGTTATTTCAGAAAAAGTCCGATTTTGTGTCAAAATACCTATGTTAGAACAATTCTACATATAAATATAATACATATCCTAAGTCGCGCTTTCAAGACATAGAAACGCATGTTGTATTTCGACAATCAGTGCAGTAGAACGGAAGATGTAAAACTGTCCTATATTTTTTTGTACAATGTGTACACGTGCATGAATATATTTAAATTTACGCTTTTATTTAACAGTTGTTGAAAGGTATTGGAATTAGGTTAAAGATGTAACAGTAACAAAGAAAGAATATCGTTCAGTCGAAACCTTATCTCCCTTTAATGGTTACCATCTCTCATTACAGCGCGACAGTCCATAGCAGACGAGAATCTTTCTTTAAAGCGCTTTTCCAGTTGTTCTCCATTTAGCTAGGGTGTACAAGTTTTAAATTTTTACGAAATACTTTTAACGTCCACTAGCCATCTCAACTAAGGTTGTCCACATATTCTGCTTACTGTTAGCTTATGGTTAAGAAATCATGGCTATTATTATTTTTACGACCCTTCTAGTAACCTTAATTTAATACTGAGTTTATTACACATGTTACAAAATGTTAAAATATTTATTTTTATTTGCGAGTTACCTAGTTTTTTTATACACAATAAAAATACTGTATTCAGAAAACCTTAAGTACAATTTTGTTTCCTTTTACATTTTAAACCAGTCTATTTCATTCCTTTATCAACAACAAAGAATGCAATAAATTTTACATATTAGCATATAATTCAAGATATTTTGGTATCTTACTTTCTTTAATGATATAAATGACATCTTAATGAATGTAAGTTTATGAAAATAGAGACTAAAATAAGTAAATACAGAAATTTAGCTACCAATGGCAGTTTAACTATGGGTCCTCATAACAAATACAAAACCCCGCGCAGATCAGAAGGTTAAAGGGAGAAAGTTCATCCCTAAATCGGGCATATTTTCACCCTGGTTTTACACCCTTCCTATCGAACTAATCAAAGATATCGATAAATCGACTACTGTTAAATCATTCTTTGACTGTAATTTATATTATATTAACTTCGATAAATAGAAATTTTCATAATTTAAAAGTGAATGTTTTCCACATTGAAATTTATTAAAAATAAATACTTTTTTTAAATCAAATTTTTCCTTTTCGGCATATTCAATAAATCTTACTTTCTTGAAGAACGTAAAATTTATTTTCCTTATTTTCTGTATTATTAGCATTTTTAAAGCATACTATGTATACAACAACTGTCTCTTATTTCATAAAATATTGAATTAAGCAAAAATAAGCTATTTCGAAATTCTTTTTTAAATCCCATCTTATAAATTAAAAAAAAAATGTTTTCTGTTATAAGGTATTCTCCCGCCTTCCTAACGTGCGTTCGTGGTGTAGTGGTTCTGCATGCTGGCCCGGTATTCCAGAGGTCCACGATTCTATTCCCGGCGAAGGCGGTTGCTATTTTTCATCTCTCCGGCCTACAAAATAATCCTAATGTCTCTGTAAGAAATCATATGTAAAGTCTTTGAATTACATTTTTATAATCTGATTTTATTTTCCATCTGTTTCTGCTACTGAAAGGAAATGAAATCCAAACAAATATGAAGAAGTACATTTTTATCCTTCTATTCTTAATTACATTCAACAGACATATTTCTCTATAAGAAGTGTATGACTTCATGCTGCTGGCTTTCTGAAATGCAATATGTGTAGATAGAATGAACATTTGAAATCAGATTTTATAATTTTCCTTAAATGATAAAATTTATTTAGAAAAAAAATTTCGACTGATCAAAACAAGAAATATTTCCATTCTGCACAGTATAATCATATCATTTATTACCTAATAATATGGCCCCATTTGTTACTGTAATAATCAGGCGCCTGAGTGAGTGACTTGGGCACACGAGTACTTTTATTCAATTAAATAAAAAAGTCTCATTGTTAAAAATATTAATTTCCATTTTTTAAATTGCCTATATGTGCCAAACTGGCAAGATATAAATCAGCTTTTAATTGCTAAGCTGGAATCTGAATAACCAGGCTGAAATTATTGTGTTTATTTTTCATAAACGATTATATCTTTAGGTTAATTAATAAAACCCTGAGAAGTATCTGTATAAGAAAATGTTTTTAACTATTTCAGATGTTAAATTTTGTAAATAATAAACCATTATTAAGTAACATACTATAGTTGCCTTAAGTTTTCTTGACAGTAACTTTTTAATAGAGAAACGAATTCCTTGCAACAACACTTCCTGCACTTTTAAAAATTCTTTAAAAAGACTATACAAGATTCCTTGTACAGAAGTTGATTTTTGAAACAATTATTGAGCATCTAAGAAATGCAAATTCTTTTGTTGGCTGATGTAAAAAATGTTGTTATGAGAGCTAAAGCTTTCAGCTTAGGAAAAAATTATTATATGATCTAAAATTTAACAAAGAACGAACTAATTTAACATTTAACTCTAAAATTTAACATTCGAATTAAATGTGAAGAAAGTTTACTTTAATTTGAAACATTTATATTTTACCAGATTTCAAAGAGTGCAACAAGAGAATTGAAATAATTACAAATTCATCTTTGTAGATGAAAATAACCAAGTTATGGATAATAAATAAGTACATTTTGTTTCAGTAATCATATGCATCATGTTTTGTAATCACTGCGTCTCTGAACTTATTTAATTAAATTGCCTGTCTCCAAACTTACCCTGCTATCGTATTTATGAAAATTGTTTCCAATGTATTGAAATAAATGTAATAAAAATTTCAAACTATGCAATTAGAGAAGATTTTTAATATCTTAAAATATACGCTAATTTATTAATAGCTTTCTAAAATTCTAACAGTGTTTTTACTTTTGCTTAAAGCTTTTATATGCGTTACATCAAAAGTCCTGTATCAACATTTTCAAACAACATAGATTATTGGTAACAATAATGTAGCAATATAAGAAATACTGCGTCATGAATGATACGCCCTCTTATGACGTCAGCATTTTAATACTGCCTAAAACAGAAAAGAATATTTTTTTGCAAACCTTTTGAATTTTTGGCATTTTTCATTAAAGGTTATGGGCATAATTGTAATAACACAAAAATATTAACTTATCTATAAATTGATTATTATATTATTCCAAGTTTTCTTTTCCTGCAGTCAGCGTTTAAAGTAGCCTAAATTAATACACATATAATGGAAATAAAAAGTGCATTCATTGTAAATACTGCAAGCAAATTGAATTCGATTTTACTTACAAAAGGTGGAATGTAATTCTTTACTTTCATCTCCATTTCTTGCTTCGGTCGGACCTTGTAGGGAAAAAAATAAATAAATAAAAATTGAAACAAAAGCAAAACAAGAAAATAACATAAAAATATAGTAATTTAATATAACAGAACTTTGAAATTCTTTCGTCCTTTCCAAGGAACGGTTTTAACGTTTTGTGTTACCTTTATTTATTAAATATAATGTTCTTCGCATTTAAACCATAAAAGTCAATTCAACAGCAATATTACAAAAAAAGAAACCTCACGCATAAAATATCCGTACTTGGTGATGCGTACTTGTACGCGATGTTAATGTTAATGGAACGCTTTGAAATCATTGAATTTGTTAATCAAAAATTCGTCAAAGATTTACAAAATATGAAATAGATTATGAAATAAATTCGAAATTCAAAATTCCTTCCTTCAAACTTGTCTTAGCGTTAAGATGCAAGCGATGTAAAACTAAGTTTTCCCCCTCGAAGATCTCAAAAATCTGAAATGTTTTAAAGTTATTAATAAACATTTAAATCCCAAGGAATAAATGGTGAAAAATATTATTAATATAAAAAAAACAAAATCTGAAATGTTTCAGATTTTAAATTGCGTCCAAAGGGAAATTTTTTTTAACATTTTGTGTGCTACCTGTATTTATTAAATGTCATGTTCTCCGCACCTAAACCATAAAATTCAGTTCAACAGCAATATCGCAAAATAATTTTAAATTGCGCATATCTTTATAATTTCTGATACACAGTCTCACTCGCTGGAGATAAAAATGTTTTATGTGGACAACGTTGCCTTTGCTCGCTTTGAAATCCTTGAGTTTGTTTATCAAAAATGTGTTAAAAGTTTTACAAAATATGAAATCCATAATAAAAAAATTGGGACTTCCAGATGCCCATTTTCGGACGGGAGGACTTCGTTATTCCAACTTTAATGGCTCTAGGTACCGTTGTTTCTTCACAATGCGAGAAACATACGAACTTCATGCAGATTCTTCATCATTTAACGTCTTCAACTTAATCACTTTCATTCTTCTCTTACTTAATCACTTCAACTTTCATTTAACTTAAAATTCAATTCAATGAGATAATATTTAGTGGCAGCAATTTGAAATGGGATTAAACATTTTTGCTGATTCGGCGCAAAAAGCCGTTTCGTGATTAACAGCCCTTCTCCGCTAATACCCCTTTGGGCTAAAAAAGAATCCCATGAAATCTAAACCTTAAAAAATTAATACTAAATTGAAAGTGTCATTAAATCTCACAATAGTACATAAAATTTACAAAACTACATAAACTACACGTGCAATTCCAAATAATTTTCAAAGCATTTTATGATAAATTAAACAAGCCTATCAAAAACATTTATTTCCCTAGGCATTTCAAAACTGTTTCCTTAAAACTCCAGAAAAGAGACTAACATATGAAAATTAAAAATCACTGTATATGATTACAATAGGAGCATCAGAATTTCAGATGCCTAGTATTAATGTTGTCAAACACATGTAGATTTCAGATTCTGTTGCTGTTCACTGTATATGATTACAATAGGAGCATCATAATTTCAGATGCCTAGTATTAATGTTGTCAAACACATGTAGATTTCAGATTCTGTTGCTGTTCACTGTATATGATTACAATAGGAGCATCATAATTTCAGATGCCTAGTATTAATGTTGTCAAACATATGTAGATTTCAGATTCCGTTGCTGTTCACTGTATATGATTACAATAGGAGCATCATAATTTCAAATGCCTAGTATTAATATTGTCAAGCACATGTAGATTTCAGATTATGTTGCTGTTCACTGTATATGGTTACAATAGGAGCATCAGAATTTCAGATGCCTAGTATTAATGTTGTCAAACACATGTAGATTTCAGATTCCGTTGCTGTTCACTGTATATGATTACAATAGGAGCATCATAATTTCAGATGCCTAGTATTAATATTGTCAAACACATGTAGATTTCAGATTATGTTGCTGTTCACTGTATATGATTACAATAGGAGCATCATAATTTCAGATGCCTAGTATTAATATTGTCAAACACATATAGATTTCAGATTCTGTTGCTGTTCACAAATAAATAATACTTACCTATATATGTGTCTAGTTTAGTTTCAGTATAAAATTAATATAGTTACATTTTCGCTATATCATCACACGTATTGAATTATAAATAGTATACTGAATATTAAAACTGGATGCAATTAAACCCAGAACATGCAGGTTTCAGTGAACTGGAACAGTTCCTAAACATATTTTGAACATTTTGTGACATGTTAAATATGCAGCATTTCCAAAATTAAATTAACTTATCACGCATCAAAACTAGGCACAGCTAAACTCAATTTTTGAACTCAAATAAAGGAAATTCAGAACAATTTTACGAAGCATTTGAATACAAATATTTCTTTCTTTTTAAATGCACATTAGAGTTCTTAACATGGAAACACCTTACCCATTCCAAAAGTTCCATTTCAAAGAGCCACGTGAAATCCATGGTAGCACTCATAAACCTGCTCTCCAGACTTCTCGCACAACACTCATCTTCGTCAGAAGCCATTGCTAACTCCTCTGGTTCATTCCCAACTCCTGAAAATTTCTTTCACGATCAATATTTTGAAAAAAATCTCAATTCATAACTTCTCTTCCGCTTCATTAAAACCATGTTCTTCCGAGTTGTTCCTCACGATATACCGAAAAGTAGAGCACGATCGCGGGTGGTGGTGAAGAACTTCTGACGGCTGCATGTTCGTGAGATTTCATTCTGATAAGCGACATAAGTGGACTGCGGCTTCTAACGCTTCCTTAAACTTCTCACGAGTTAAAAGTACTTTTCCTTAAAAGAAGTTTTCAATATTTTTGCCTCACATTCAATGAAATATTTCACGCAAGGCTTAAATTAGAGTATCCATTTCGAAGCTATCAATCAAAAAAGGCAATAACGTCGTTTTATCGAGAAATCTTGCTTGATATTTCATATTTAATATACTGTTTCACGAACAGCATTTTGTGTGTTCACTGTTCGGAGTGATCAGATAGGAAATATGTGATTTCTGATTTTTTCACGTCAAATAAAACGATAAGAAATTTAAGCAAATACAGAAAATACGTTTATTATTATATCTAAGAAAATTTTAATATAGAATTAAACGTAAGATGTTGAGATGTAGGTACAAATGTGCATGAGCGTTGAAATAGTATTAGTAAAGCAGGGATGAACCCGCAGCACGCGTGCCACGTTGTGGTACGGCGGTGGTATAACAGTGGCACGCGAAGACGTTTGAAAAAATTAAAAGTTCTGAAAAAATAATTACATCATCTCTATCAACTCCGTCGGTAGATAAGCCCACCAGCTGCCGAGCGGTAAAGTCGCTGAACACTGGTAGTTTGGTCCGAGGTTCGAATCCCGCAAACGGGGCTGGCTGCATGGGTGTTTTCGTGGTTTTCCCCATGTGTAACGTGTATACAAGCCAGTTTCCCTTAAAAAGTCCTCCACGAAGGCATCCCTCCCTTAAGGCAGATAGCCCCTCGAGTGCTTTGCCGTAATCTAATAAACCAAACCGTCGGTAGGTACACACATAAATATATTGCAATAAATATAATTTTTAACTTTTTAAATTTTAGTTTATGTTTATTTCTCTAATGACACTCAGTCACACTGTTGCTGTTGGTTTGAATCAACAGATATATGTGAACAAATATTTTCTCTAATGAACATAATAAAATCAAAATATCATTCAACATTAACTGATATACACCTGAAACACCTAATATTTTTCTCATCTTCAAGAACTAATCCTAATATAGTAGATAACTTGGCAGAAAAACTACATATTCAAAAACCACATGAATTAAGTACTAACTACTTAATAGTTGTTTAGAATCAAATGTTTCAAATTACTCATTTTTATTTTATATATAAGTATTAACTGAACGAACGTTTAAAAATGTTTACTAGTAATAAATCCCTGGTTTTTACGTTTATTCATATTATTATGTTTTAAATTACCAATATTCAGACTTACATAAAAATGGTATTTGCGTAAAATTCCCATAATCAGCCTATAAATAACTTTATTTTATCTTTATATATTTTTTAATATTTTGAAAAATTTGGAAGTGGCAAGCATAATGTTTTCTTTTTCAAATAGTGGCACTCTTCCCAAAAAGGTTGGCCACCCCTTGTTTAGAGGATCAATAAATTTTCTCAAATCAAGCAGTATAGTTAGCTTTGTGAAGTTTATCTATTTACTTTAACTAACAGTTCATTTTTAAGTGAGCACTTTCTTATTACTCTCTTTCACCCAAGCGTTTTATGCTAGAATGTAAAGGAGACAGCGAGCGTTTATTCAGATTAAAGTAGGAAGAAGTGCTATTTGAGCAAGAAAAAGTTAGTTTTAAAGCGTATCTGTCTAATCCAGATCACGTTGTGCTGTGATTATTAGCGACGTGATTTAGTGGCGCTGAGGGCTTCTAGCCATTTGACTTTATTTCTCCGGTTTTCTATAGACCAGAGCCTTGCTGGAAGTTTAATTAACGTGTGAGCCGTTAGGTTAATCTACCGCATTTTGAAGTTGTTTAACTTTACAGATTTCTGTTAAGCCAGAAGTGCTTGGCTTGTATAAACCCAAGTTCGGTAATTGTTATGCTTCCTAATAGACGTAGACTTTATAGTGTAAAATATCATAAATTTTATCAAATCAAATAGTATAATTAGTTTAAAGGATCAGGAAAAATTTAGTTTGTGATGTAGCCGTTCCTCAATAGACACTAATGCCGGCTAGCTTTAAACGGATTTATTAACAGAGCACACAGGAACGTTACAAACAAAAGAAATATACAAAAAAGAAAATATACCAAAATGGAACATCAAACATCGAGAATAACATAACATAGTAAGCTATCATCATGGCGGCTGGAGGTCGACTGACGTTTTTTCTTATCGCCACGAGATGGCGTTTAAATAAAATGTTCGGGTTACAGTTCATGCATGGATAAAATAGTTCAATTACACTTAATAGTCTGTTACATCCTCCCCCTGACTTCGTAGACGCTCGGCAAGAAGTCAGGAAATGACCTTTGTTACTTTGTGCAGCGGGCGGAGAATCAGATGAATGGGCTAGTTTGACAAGCAGGAAAATTAGCGTCACCTGCACCTTGGCAACAGGTGCAGATTCGGGTGGTATTACACGTTTCGGGTCCTCTTTTCTTTAAGGGAACCACTGGAGTTACACGAGCTGAGTTGAAACTATTCGATCTGATATGGATCAAGGCTGAAACATGTACTTGCGAGAATTTTGTTGGTTCATGAGGAACGGCTACATCACATTGGCGCCCAAATAAATTTGAATCCAAAATGGCGCAAAAAAATGTTAGAATTCTGTTGGCTTAACAAGCTCTTACTCCCGAATTTAATTTTAGTTGCTGGAGATCGGCTCAGTTTCTTAAACATATACAAATGGAACATCAAACATTGAGAATAACATAACAAGAAGCTATCATAATGGCGGCTGGACGGAGACTGGAATTTTTTAAGCCAGAGATGGCGTTAAATAAAAAAGTTCGGTTACAGTTCATGACATGAATAAAATAGTTCAATTACACTTAAATAGGTCTGTTACAAGTTCTATTTCTTAATCATTTTTTCCTGTTCTCAGAAATGCCCTTACAGAATATAAATGTATTGTTTAGTCAAATCTTGCAATAGCATTCGAAATAATAAAAAAGGCTTTAGAACTTTACTTGAATTAATTCTCTGAGATGCGTTTATATATATTTATCAATTATAACATTCTAGAATTCACAGGACAGAAACTGATTTACTTTCATAGGTTTTTCAAGTTCCCAATGGTTTCCATGGTGAATATGAGTGAGAAATTACGAGTTTAAATATAAAATAAAACAGTTATGCTTTAATATATTTTTATATCAAGGTTTCATGATCATTTGAAACAAGTTGAAATTTTTTGGCGATAACCCATATTCGTATGCAGGGTGAAACCCCTCTGTGACCTAAAGTTGCTGTTAACTGTAATAAAACTTAAACTATGAGTTATGCAAATATCTAACATCTAAATAAAACGTTCTGTAATCAGATATTTCTGACTTTGGGGTAGTAAATATTTTTCATGAAAGAAACAGAATGACAATACTAATTAATCTTACTTGTGTGAAATTTCTTCCAACTGATCGGAGGAAAACAAAATGTTCTGGGACGGAATCAATTCCAAGTTGCCTGTGTATTTCTTTTCTCAGATCCGCCAAAACTGTTTGCGGAAGAACCCTGAAAAATGAAAATACAATTTCAACATATGGGTATAATTTATTTGATATCATTGTTTTTATGTAAATACAATAAAAATGTAGTCTTCATTTTTTATATTATTCAAGAGAAGTGCAGCAAAAAATATGTATAATTTAACAGGCTATACAAGAAAGTCATGTGGTGTCCGAATCCGATATTTTATTCTATTATCAGTAATAAAAAAAGGTGTAGCATTGTTTATAATTTCAGCCTTTACTATAACTTCTCCTTTCCGTTTCCTCACCAGAAACGCAAATGTTGTTAGAGCGTATTTAAGCTGAGTTTTGGGTTTGTAAGACACAGTGTGTTTCTGCCTCTTGAGGTCACATTACTTAAACTCTTGCATTATACGGCTTCGCGTTGTTTACTGCATACTTTTAAAGTGCTACACCGGTTTAAGTTCTGATCCAACTTCAATTTAATTTTAATGTGTAGTCTTTAAATACTAGTCAGTGTCTTTATTTAAATTTGACTGTTACTTTAGTTGCATCCCCACAAGTGGTAGTTGATTTCTGTGAGCACGAGAAGTGCACTTATGCTCTAAGTTCTGTTAAATAAAAATACTGTTTTAAACCTTTCCAAGTCTCCGTAGTTATTTTAAACACAACGATATTTCACTCTACGGAAGCTAAGAGTTTTGGATTAGTTTATACTCCCAAAAAGAGCCACTAATAGTCAGAATGTTCCATTTAAGAATTTGATATAAAAACATTTTCTGGAGCCCATTTTATATTTTTCTTCCTTCATGACGGTCTTTATTTTAAATACAGAAAACCACAGTGGAGAAAATATTAGCACCTTCTCGTCTTCATTTTTCGTCATACGTGTCATCAGATCCAAGAGATAATATTCAAAATGCATTTTTCTTTTTGTTAATTTAATCCTCACAGAAACACAAACTCGCATCAGTTTTAAAATGATATACAATAATATTTCCTGGCCATATTAATAACAGGGAATTTAATCAAAAGACAGATCATTCATAAGAAATAGCTCATGAAAAAGTAAATTTCTGAAGTGATCAACATCACTTTTTATTATTTCTAAAATATATCAAAAACTAAACACGTTCGCATTAAATTAAACAAAGTATAGGACATTTTTTAAACTCTATGCATTTATTATGGTTACAGTTGCGGTGCTAACTTTAAGTGTATAAG